CTTCTTTTTTTGGTGTTGGGGATATAAATTTTATTGAGAAAATGCCTCATTCTTTCTATATACCCATTACTCCCAGACCAGGGAAATGAGTGACCCCCTCTCATGGTTAGCGGGTAGGCCATCAGGTGGTGCTCAGCTACTAAATCTATATCCACACCTGGCAGTGGGGTGGAATCAAGAGCCAGAGCAGTGCTGACTTTGGTCTCTCTGTGTCTCGGTTTCCCCATCTGGAATATGAGGGTGCTCCTGAACTTGAGGAGCCAGGCAGTCTGTGTTTGGGCAGTGGGCTGTTCTGTACTATTCACTAGTCACCTGAGAAGGACAGTGTGTGAGGGTGCCAAGTGTCTACTCTAAGACAGGGCTGTGGGGCTAGTTGTGCAAGGGACAGCTTCTTGGATAAACACACAAACTTAGGAGACAGACTGTTTTATTTCAAGTTTCCACTCTACCCCTTGCTAACCTGTGGCCTTGGACAAGTTGCTTATTATCTTTTTGCTTTAGTTTCCTCATCTATAAAATGGGGCAAGGGGGGATGGTTAAATATCAGGTACATATTATTATTATGAAGATTAAATATCTGACATGCTTAGAATAGTGCCTGACAACAAAGCTTGTATGAATGCATGCTATTTGTTACTATGGAGGAGATAGGATTTGGATTTTATTCTTTAATACCCAACCTGGTTCAAAAAAGGATTTTAAGCACTAGAATATGAGTTTGGCTATTTTTTTTTAAAATAGGGTCTTACTCTGTCACCTGGGCTTGAGTACAGTGGTGCCATCATAGCTCACTATAACCTCCAACTCCTGGGCTTAAGCAATCCTCCTTCCCAGCAGCCTCCTAAGTGAGTAGCTGGGACTCCAGGCACACACCACCATGCTGGCTAATTTTTCTGGGTTTTTTTTGTAGACTTAGGGTCTTGCCAACCTTACTCAGGCTGGTCTTGAACTTCTGACCTCAAGCAATCCTCCCACCTTGTCCTCCCAAAACACTAGCAACCTTGCCGGGCCTGATTTCATCTTTTGACAGATTCTTAACTCCATCCAAAGAACCCTGAGTTAAAATACCTCAAGGCAGCATTTCTAAGTGTGTGTGACACTTAGAATGGTAGTTTTGCAAAATGTTAATAGGTATACTACTTTAAGACATGACTTTTTGTGGTCAGGTAAGCTTGGCAAACATTAGGTTAAACTAAGATAAATATGGTTCCTTATTTCAGGACATCTTAGAACATCTAATTTACTATGTACAATGGGGATATCTTCATCATAGGGTCACAGTATTCAGGGTTTTTGCGAATAACCCTGTTTGGGCAGGGAACCATTTGTTGTCAGACCATCTTTAGAGGGTAGTTTTCCACAGAACACTTTTAGAGTGCTGCCTTTATAGATTAGTTTATTTATAACACCTGAATGCACCATGCCAGGCCCTAGTATTGTGAGCATAGTATTAACAGATGCTCAGTAAATGTTATTAAATAGCTATTGAAGAATTTACTAGAATGTAGATAGGTAGAATAATTAGTAAGCAAGACAAAGCCATTTACAAAGACAATCCCTGATATTTATTGTAATGTATTTTGTGTTACAGAAATTGTATCAGAAAAGATAACAAATAAGTAATAGTCAAGCATAGCTAACCCTTCTCCAGTTGCTGTCCTTACTGCCAAGAGATGACTGTTTATAAAGCATGCATTTCCCCTTTCTGCCACGAGATGGCTCTTTGTAGATCAGTGAAAATTCTGGAGTAGATCATTTTCCTGAGACCTGCTGAAGGGACGTATGAGTGAATTATCAAGATAAAAAGTGAACTAGAGGTACTTTCAAGGACACAGCAACGTAACAAAAAGGAGATCTGCCTGTAACAAAGTGCTACTCAGCAAAGAGCATAGATTACTGCAGGTTGGAACACACAGGAAAAGCTTTGTAGAAGTGCCTTAAGCTGGTCTTGAAAGGTGTAGAACATGAATAAACAGAAGTGATGGGTCAGAACTTTCCAGGAAAACACCCAGAGGAAGAAGGGGCACAAGTAAGTGGAACAATAAAGTAAATAGAAAGAGCAGAGTTTGAATGTTCAAATGAGAACTGGTGCTAGCAGGCAATGGAGGGTCATGGGCCTGAGCAGTGTTAACAACCTCCGTATCTCTATCCTGTGTTTGTTCCATTACTGCTCACCACCACACACCACCACATACCACTACACACCACTACACACCACTACACACCACTTCATGCCACCACACGCCACCACACACCACCACATACCACTACACACCACTACACACCACTACACACCACTTCATGCCACCACACGCCACCACACACCACTACATGCCACCACACGCCACTGCACACCACTGCACACCACCACAGACCACTGCACACCACTACACACCACTACATGCCACCACACGCCACCACACACCACCAAACACCACTACACACCACCACACACAACCACATACCACCACACGCCACCACACACCACTGCACACCACCACACACAACCACATACCACCACACACCACCACACGCCACCACACACCACTACACACTACTTGTCCAAAAGCCCTACCTTGTCACTTTGCTAAGACCCTCTAGATCCTCCTGTCAACCATTTCAAGTTCAGACCTCATTCAAGTTCAGTGTAATAGGAACACACAAAAGCAGTTTGTTCCCCTGACCAATTAGTTTCTGAGACATGGAGCCTGCAATAATCTATTCATATAATTTTTACTTAAGTCCAAACTCCGTGATTTTCCATCTTTACTTACATACTTAATTTTGTTTTAAAAGTACATATGGGTATGCATTTAGTCATTTTTTAAGTTTAGAAAGATAGAAGAAATGTTGGCCATTATCTCCAAGTGGTAGAATTTTCTTTAGATTTATCTGCATTTTCTATGTCTTTCTTAAATGAACATATATTACTCTATACTAAACAAATAAAAATGTATTTAGTTTTCCTTTCTGTAGAATGGGGATTAAGATGTAATATAGGCCTAGCACACTGGAATTGAGGCCAGGAGTTTGAGATCAGCCTAAGCAACATATTGAGACCCTTTCATTATAAAAAAATTTACAAAAACAAAAATAGCCAGGCCTAGTGGTATGTTCCCATAGTCCCAGCTTTAGGAGGCAGAGGCAGGAAGATGGTTAAGTCCAGGAGTTTGAGGCTGCAGTGAGCTAGACGCCACTCTACCCCAGGCAACAGAGCTAGAACATGTCTCAAAAAAGGAAAAAAATCATAAGATGTAGAAGCCTCATGGGACATCAATAAATAGAGAAGCTGACTGTGGTTGCAAATTCTTTAAAATTAGCTTGGGAGGGATAAATCCATTTCAAGGTCATTGGAAATAATCATGGCAACCTATTTTAAGCAAGTTCAATTTTCCAACTCATCTGAGTCTGGCATGGAGAAGAGGGCATAATCAAAATGAAAGTTTTCTCTTTCTACCTTTCTAGATTGGAATTCAACAAAAAGAATGTTAACCTGCAGTAGGAATTCTTAATCTGAGGTGTTTTTTTT